AAATGAAGAGACTGTGTGAAATCGAAAATAAATAACAGAGTATGCAGCACTTCTCTAAAACTGAAAATGTTCGTATCCGGCAAACTGCCATTTTGCTTGAAACGAAAAGTTTCCGATCAAAGTCTCGTCGCCGTTTGGCCGTTAGAATGAATATGATAAGTAATGGCTTTAAGCAGTGCTCGATTGGATTATTTTTAGATTAGAGTTAATTTTAATTTTTAATTTTTAAACTATAGGCAGGCAACGGGCAACTCTGAACAAATGAAAGATTTCTTTCGCCCGTTGGTCAGCGCGTAAGCATTCAAGTGTGTTCGTCACCAGGCTATATAGAACCTGATATCATCCCCAATCCAATAATTCAGAAAAGCCGCTTTTCCGTTAAAGGAACCTGTTTTAATGCCTGAACGACGATCTGCTACACTTGACAGCGCCTCATACAGCATTTTTTGCTTTCAGACGTGCAACTGAAGCAAAATTGAAATCGGTTTAATTGGAAACGGTGGTAAAAACTCAACATGTGTCAAATTTTCTAGACGCCGCGGAGATGATGAACATGAAGAAAAGGCTGCCCGCTTCGTTCTTTCAAATTTTTGCGACCATCGACAAATGAAACAGTAGCGAAAAGCTTAGGCATGTCACTCCAAACGAGAGCGTGTTCCAGTTATGTATTAATTACGCATTTACTTTTTCCATTTTCTGGAAATTTCCGCCCTCCAGACACTAAAACACTGCCAAAAGACGGTCGCCTGTCGTTTAGTTAAGCTGTTGTGAAGAATTTCAGGTTCAGCTGATTGGAATAGGAAAAAGTTCCCCCTAAGCTTCGGTGCTATCAAGAGAATGAATCAACGAAATAGACACCAAGAAAAGTGAAGAAGAGCAAGTGCACCAATTTGGATGCAACAGAAAGAGTGCATCAAGAGATACTGTTAAAGTGTACTTGGAAGCGATGAAGTGAATGCCTACCGTATATCTGAAGTCCAAAGTCATCCACGAAACGCACGGCTACAGTTAGTCTATTAGTTTCGGCAGCTGGAGGTTGAAGAATCTAATTGCTTAGATGGAATCACTGATAATCTCCATTTTTTAGCCATATAAACAAATGACTCGCATAAATAATCATGGTAAAAAATAGAAATCTGTCAAAAATCATTGCACGAATATCGCAGTAAAGAATTTTAGTTATCACAAATACCGGGTTGGGTTTTTGATGTCTTTATGGCGCAAGTTAATTCCGCGCCAAAATGATGGTCGCAGATGATTCAGCTAAATCGCGATCTTGCTGAATCGGACAACATCTATTTTAAAAACAGGGATAACGTTAATAAGCACATAAGTCATCAAAAATTAAATTTAATCGCAATCGAAAATTGCACCTCCACAATGACGGCATGAAGTTGTTGCGGTTTTGTGCAAGCAACGCATTGTCCATTAAGAACACCTTCTTCGAGCATCGAAAAGTGCATCAGTACACCTGGTACCGGGAAGCTTGTGCACAGA